TCCGTGGTATGCTCGCCTCGTCGTTGTAACATAATGTTTCCGGGTAGGGTGACATATTTTTTTTAGTACTGGTACTGTTACCTTGTGAGCTTGCACGTTAGATAATGTTGATCAGCGTGTCGGTCTTGTAAAAAGTCGGGTTCATATTCATCTTCTCGTCCTGAATATGCATATTCAAACGAAAAATGCAATGAACACTTGTGGTCCTACATCCTGTTGATATTTATATTTCAGCGTTGATCAAAGTTGTGATAGTCTAAACTGCATTGGGAATAAACACACCGAAAAGGAAAAAGATAAGCGTGCCGTTTTGCCATGTGATAAGTGACTTTCCGTTTGAAATTTCCTTGGAGTTCGGTATTTCTTTTTTGGCTTCATTGCGCATCGAAAATCTTTTTTTTTCTATGTTTCTTACTAATGACACATGTTCCTCAATGATTTATGCAGTAAAAACAAATTCGATGAACCCTATGAATTTTTTATCAATAAAATGGATAAAATACAATAAGTTAATGTACTTCAAGAGATATAAAATAATTTTCCAGGAAATGTCATTTGTATTTGGACTCGTGTAGCATTTTAAAATATCATTCCCATTAAACAAAGCAACATAGAACAATCCTTAATAAGGCAAACCTTCTAAAATTCAACATATGCAGAGAATCTTTTCATCTATAATTTTATGATAAATGCAAAATACTTTTATTTAGAAATTAAATGGAAGCGATATTTTTATCTCAATTTTCAATTTTTATCAAGAGATAAATTCTGACAAACAGAGTTACACTGATTTTGAAGTTGTCTGAACAATATCCTTCTAAAAATATTTTCTACCAAAAAACTATAGATAAATAGATAGATAGATAAAACGAAAGAACATCAGATAAGGTAAAAAATAGGCATGTGAAATATAAAATAAAGGAGCGTTCTTCTGCAAAGGATATTAAAAAAATAATCGTCATAATCAAAACCATGAAAGATAACTCAAATCATTTATACGTGGTCTTATGACAGTGAAAATTAAGGCGAAAATCATAGATAAAATATTGTATGATTTCTAACATTTTCATCGTGTTATATGTTTTTAAATATGCTCGAAAATTCCAGTGTAATTAAAGTTTACTTTAAAAAAAAATTACAATTTAACGTGAAGTAACTGACCATGCATTAAGTGATGTCACAGGCTAGTATATGACGTCAGTTTTTTAAGAAGGAAACATAGCGTGCCACTACAAGGAGTTGGAAATGAACAATTCTTTTTTAACATTTAAACATTTGTGGTCGATCGTTACGCCACAAGTAAAACAGGAAGTTAGGTAAATACCAGTAAGTAAAATTTTCTCATTTTGTCTTTATTTATGTATGAGCTGAATAAATATTGGACACTTGATGGGATTATTTTCACTTATCTGTGCATTGATTACATTTAAATCAATCCTTGAGTAACCTCACCGGCTAACCAAATTGTAAATAGGTTAAAACGCGTACTCAATAGTCATTTAATTTTGGAACAGCACTGACTATAGTTTAATTTTATCCCGCTTATTCTAAGTACAGTGAGTGTTCACTTTTATCATATTTATTCATTTGAATACAACATTATTAAGATTTCAAATGTTATTAAAAGAAGGGTGTTTTTTTTGTATTACAGTATTGTATTATTTTTCTGTATCTTAATATTTGGTTCAGGTTATATATTCTTGGTTTTCAATTACTAAGTATTTTGAAGTGCTTAAACATGTCTTTACTGATTAAAGATAAAGATGCACGCGAGTTATTCCAATTTTATTTTTCATATCTTACAGCTAAAAATCTTAGTTGCCAAGTTTAACAGTATTAAGTACTTGTGTTAGTATTTTAGTAAATAATTCATATAGAATATTTTTCCAAAAATACTAACTTGTCATTGCGTATACATTGAGTTATATCTTAAATTTAAAAAAAGTTTATTTTGTACATGTCAAAAACTAATGTTAGTCAAACGTTAGTTTTATGTAAATATATAACGATTATAATGTTAGTTTTATAGCATCGAGTGTGATACGATGTTTCTCCACTCTATAGACAGTTAAATTTTCAAATTTAAAACGAGTGGCTCGCCAATAACGTTTGTAAGTTACTAAAGTATAGCATAAAGTTTACGTTAGAATAACGTTACATTAATGGGTTAATGACAACATATCAAACAAATACATGTTATTATTCTCTTTTGTTTTGTAACATTATACTTAGAAATTCCAAAGAAAAATATCGAATTTATTGTTAATAAAATTAAAATCCTATATTTTGCCACCTTTTACAGGTTTGATAAAAATTACTTCAACGCTTTTGTGTTGACATGAAATATCATTGATATATTAATTATTTATAAAATTACTGTGAAATTATCATTCAAAACACTTATGGGTTTCTACCCCTAGGAATAAAGGCCTTAGTCGTATTTGGAACACATTTTCGGAATTTACGGTTTTAATGCTCTTCAACTTCCAACTATTTTAATTATCTTCAGAGTACCACTTATGGGTCTTATGGGTGTTGAAGACCGTACTGTGACCTATAATGGTTTACGTTTATAAATTTTGACTTGGATGGAGAGTTGTCTCATTGGCACTCATACCACATCTTCTTATATCTACTTATGTAGCAGAAACACGCATCTGGCGTACTTTTATTACAAGCTTGGTATCTTTGGATGAGGTTTTGCAAATAAGGGGACGACTATTTGATTTTCTGTGGAGAAATAGGCAGTAGGAGGATTGTGAAAATTAATATCAGAGTCTAGTCAAGGATGATTACTCCATAAGTAGAAACAGAAAACAGCAAACATGATCAGCAATACAAGATCGTCAATAATACCAAAAGAACAAAAGAACAAAAGACCAAATCCATTGGATGACTCGGTATATTTATGTATTGATCTCAAATGACGGCAGCCATGTAGATTATATAAATATATACGAAAGCCTAATAGTTTAACCAAACAAGGTGATAGTTATTTCCACCCTTAAAATTGTATCAACACAAAGATTTGATTTTTAAGTAATCTCGCGAGAAACGAACTTACAACATTTTTATACATCCTTCGACGACGGACATGCGCCAAACAATTAAAAAACAGAGGTTCTAACCACTACACAAGATCCAAAGGGGAAGTTTCACTGGGGTAGTTTTACCTTTGCTCGTCACGAAAGCTTTCTAAAAGTTCTTTTCTGTTACATACACGTTGTTAGATATGGTCAGGAGTTTTAATTACTATGATTTCAATCCGCTGCAGGCATAAGGATATATCTATAATTTATATAGATACCAACACAATTTTCAAATTCTATTTATATATTATCTGCCTATGATAGTGTATTAACAAATGACTGCAACTTACACATCAGATCTTTAGAGATACACTAAAGATGCAAGAATAATTGAATTATAATATATAAAGTCGTAATAGTTTAAACAAACAATGTCATAGTGATTTCCACCCTCAAAACCGGATTTAAAAACAGATTTGACATATATCCCATATATCGTAAAAAGTAAAATATCAAAAATACCGAACTCCAAGGAAAATTCAAAACGGAAAGTCCCCTATCAAATGGCAAATCAAAAGCTAAAAAAACATCAAACGAATGGAGAAACAACTGTCATATTGATTAAACATAGTTTTATAGCTAGATAAACCTCTCACTTGTATGAAAGTCGCATAAAACACCGTTATATTGACAACAATGTGTGAACAAAACAAACAGACATAATAGGTAAAAATGTCAAAAATAGGGGTAAAAGTAAATCATAAAACAAAAAAAAGCAAAAAACCTGGACAGTCCAGTTACGACTAGAATGAACTCTTATGTGAATACTTTTTCTATTTTACGAAATTTTCCTTTGATCTTACTGACTGATAATTTCCTTTCTCAGGACAGTAGAGTGATATGAAAGTCGACAAAGCGAGACATAGACATGGGTTTTCGGAACGGGGTTGACATATGTTTAGGTTTAAGCCTAAATGATGTCAAGTGTGTATCCAAACCATATAACAAAGGAATACATCAGTAGATTGTTTTAATGTGTTGTACTTCATATATAATAAATAGTATGTGTATTAATTTTATTATCTACATATATAAAAAGAAGAAGATGTGTTATGCTTGCCAATGAGACAACTCTCCACCAGAGACCAAATCACATAGAAGTTTACCAATATAGGCCACCGTACGGCCTTCAACAATGAGCAAAACCCACATCGCATAGTCAGCAATAAAGGGCCCCTAAATGACAAATGTAAAACAATTCAAACTAGAAAACTAACGTCTGTATGTATTTGAAGCGAACATCCTCAACGATTTATACAATGGATATTTTTATCTGTCAACACATGTTACCATACCACAAAGCTTAGTTGGTAGAGTAATTTGCGGGCTGGTCACACTGTAGATGGTGTTATAACACTGTAAGGTTGAATTCAAGAAGACTATTCATGAATATTTGAAAATCATATCTAAATAACAAGGTGTTAGTGGTACAATGTGCAGACTTTTTGGACCAAAAGGTTTCTCCTGCAAATTAGGACAAAACTACACCAAAAAAACAGGATATAAAATAAATTAATTAGACAGATTTTATAGAGCAAAAACACAGACACATAAACAAAATAAAGAAACCTATATTCATATATAAAAAAGTGGATTGATTATGTTGTGTCAACGTACACATTATTCAACAAAATAACAACGGGTTAATAAAGAATTGTTTTGTCTAACAGGTACTATAAAATTTTAAAATGAACAATATTGATTGACTTAGGTCTCTTTTCCAAGTCAATCATAACTTATGCTATGCACAGTATTGAAATGAATATTTTCCTGTTGGTGTTTTCTTTGTACTAGGAGTATTTCGAAGAAGTGAAAACCTGTTTGGGTCAGGTGGTATATTCAAAAGAGTTAACATCTTGCTTATAAATGTCAGTTACAACATATATATTTCTCTTCATAGCATTTTCTTACCGTATGAACCGGGTAATGGCTTGTAAGCCCCAGCGCTTGCACCTGTAACGATAAATAATTCAGTTCTGCAGAATAATACGCAACGAATTTGTAGGTAAACTTATCCATTTTATAAAAATAAAATTATTATTACAAGCTTTGTATCATTCAATGAAAATGTTACATATTCAATATGCAGTAAGACAACACGATATGAATATTTTTATTTTTATTTTTAAGTTGTAAATAAATGTTACTGTCAAAGTAAGACTAAATGTTTTTATGCATGGAAATCATACACAGATTTAAGTCAATAACCAATCAAAAAATAGAACTACAATTATCTCAATTCTAATGCAATACTTTTCTGCCTCGAACACCCCGTAAAAGTTGTGAAATTTTCCTGAAATTTGAATATCATAGATCTAGAGTCTGAATAATTCACCTATCCATAAAGTCAAATTATTATTCAGTACTATACGTAATTCGTTTTGGTCAAATATCATAAATTGTTCATATTTTTGTGAAAGTTTTGCATCCTTATAAGAACACAGTAGCTACGGTTTTCACAAATATAAGTTGAAAATTTACAAAAAGAATACAGTACATTTTGTACATAGAATACAAACGGAATGAATTTTCGGGCTAACCTTAGCGTTGTTTTCTCGAGATTTTGTTTTCTATTACCAAAAAGTTGAAATTTTATCGGTCCGACAAAACTCCCGTTTTAAACCAGCCTATATTCATATAATCTGATTAATGCATAGGAGTACATACTTCTATTGAATAATAAAACGTGTGAACCAAAACAACAAGGAATCATTGCAGTCAAACAAATTTCACGGATTCGGCTCAAAACTGATGAAGTCGTATAGATATTTTAGCGAGATAAGACAGGACTTCGATAAATATCATTACAGAAACAGTTGGTATAGCGAAGTTGTTTAAGCTTAACTCCCTCAGGCAAAGTTGACCTAAAATAGATTTGGCAATTTTTTTATGTCCTTTTTGGTCGTATATCTCTTCAACTGTTTCTATTCTTTATCATCCTTGGCTTTCAAATACTCGGCTTTGAACGTTCCTGATGAAGGTAAATCCAGAAAAGCGATTCGGACGCATGAAATTTGTAACGTGTTGTTTTCAGTTTTTAACTATAGCACGTGGAAAATTGAAATTTATCTATATTGAATAATTCGTTGTCTGTATTTTACGACATTTCCAGCACTATTGGTTAAACCCCGGTGGTAAGATTTTATTGGCGGAGGAATCCTGAGTGCTCGGAGAGAACCACCGACTTTCCAAATGAAAACCGACAATCCTAGTCTACTTAGATTGGTGCCACGTCCGGGATTCGAACTCGCAGCCTCTGTAATGACAAGCTAGTGATACAGTCAATGAACTACTTAGAGCACTAGGCAACCGAAGCCCCCTTCTTTACCTATATAAATGTGATAAGCAGAATGACCCAATAAAAGAGACACAACAGAATAAAACGTTGAAATAAAAAAAAAGAAACTGCCAAAAACAGACATAAAAATGCATTGCATAAATTAACTTGAACAAATTATTTTTAGATAATTAATAAGTTCAAAAAGGGGAAGTCCATAAAAACTGGAATAATCAAACGTAATTTCACCAATGGAACGAGTGAAAAACTGTCATATTCCTAACCAGACATTTTTCGAAAAAACGGTGGGTTGAACCTGGTTTTATACGTACTTGTATAATAGTTCAGGCTTATTGACAAAATTGGGTGAGAAACCCAAACAGACATAATAAGATGACATGACAATAATTGGAATCCAGCAGGCTCATTAAATTTGTAGTTTCTTTAAATCTCTAGATTGGGAGGATATAATATGGGAACCAATCAGTCACATGTTTAAGGACTGTTCATATTCCACTCACCTATCTATGTAAAAGAGAACTCCGAAGAAGCAAACTACCTTTCAGGACAATAATTGTAATTCTCACAATGACAAAGAGGATGTCGTTACCTCTGTCAATCAATTAGGTAGCACAGAAATGTTGATTTTTAATGCTGTGAACTAGGATCAGCATGTGAATTGTTGACAGCGGAGCCCAAGTCACCATTTTAAGTGATAAATTTTTTGCTAAACGAAGTAGCAAACACCAACGACAAGCAATTCATAGAATTCAGAATATATGTTAGTATTTGTGATTATCGAGCGAATATGAGATTATATTTCAGCAAACTCTTCTGAGAAACGTTTCCTGCGAAAGATATGGTAGACATATTACTTCAGGCAAAATTTATTTCCCTATGGTATTTCGTGGGTGTCTTTTACAATGTCAATTACACCAACTTTATTATTATGTATTTATATACACTTTATTTTACTGTGAGTATAGAGTATTACAAGATGTATTTTGATCTTGTACAATACCTTGAGTGCTGTCAAATTAGTAATAATCGTAGATGTGTACTTTTGCGACAAAATGACACCCAAATAAAAATGTGTTTGTTGTTTGATGACTTCCGGTTACAGGCTGCGACAATGCGGTGTTTCAAGAAGCCAAAAAATGATGAAATAAGTGTTTTAAGCCCATAAACGTAATCTATACAAACTCTTACCTTTGAAACAACCAAAATGGCATCAAACTCACCAAAATCTAATCCAAACAAGAATATCCATTACACCAAGCACTCAAGCAAACCAAGCGACAATAAAGCTCGAAAACAGATTCTGTTTTAGCATGGAGAAGGGTTCTTCTAATGAGATACTTTTTGAAATTGGGTCAAAACGAAGCGACAAAAATCACAAGGAAATATTATGATCTTAAATCAAGGTTTGTCACCCTAAATGGTGAGCGGAAGACTTTCGAGTGGAAAATTCCGATTGATAAACTATTTAATTCTTCAGTTGATATAACAATAAACAAGAAAACATATGTGTCATTTCTATTTTCTACACAATCTATACAGCTCTAATAAAAGGGAAAAGTACAGAATTTTGGTTGAATCGTGATTTTGACAATATAGATCAAACATTAAAAGACATCATCCAATTACGACATAAGGGAGGTAACTCTAGTCAGATTGACAAACTAATTCATGAACTTAGCTTTCCTTCTGAATTGATTGATATGACAGGAACAGATAGTCAAAATAACTCTCTTAATGACTCGAAAACAGAGGTAGAGAGAACAGAAAAATCAGGGATTAATGTTTCTGAAGATGAAATTTTAAAAACTGACAATAACTCTGAAATGCATAGTGCCACAAGTAACAAACCTCCAACCTTACATGTAGATAACTTCAATAACATTCAAAGTAATGACAAAGATGAAACTACTGAAGAAAGGAGTCAAATGAAAGATAGACTAATTAGATAGAGCGAGAATATTTGTATTTTAAATTCTTCTTAAAAACCCTTGAAAGTAAACATACTGAATCAGATACACAGCTACAAAGAATTCATAACATTTGTATAAATGACCTGCAAAAGGTAACAGATATTGAGTCTATTAAGCCAGAGATGGAAAAACTAAGTACTGTTGTTGTAAGAATGGAAGCTGAAAGAAAGCAACATATAAATAAACCACAAACATCATCTTCAGTAAAAGAGAATAATAATTTGAAAGAACTAGAAAACAATTTAGTTGAAGTTGAAACTAGTCTAAGCAGGACAAATCAAGAATGACAACATCTTAAGGGTATAGGTGTAGAAATGTCAGAACTGAAGCATACTTTAGTAGATTTAAGTACAGACAAAGTTGCAAAGGTGGTTGAAAAAGAAGCTTCTCAAATAAAACAACAGTTGAATGAAACCAAACAGGAGATTGCAACCTGTGTTAAATTAGTTCAAAACAGAATTAATGATGAAGGTATAAGAGAACATACCAACTTAGATAGATCAAAAAGTGAAAGTAAGCAATAAGATAGTGAACACGAGAGTTTATCAACCTCCTTAAATAGTCCAAGAAGATTTGCTTCTCAGGTGTATGATAAAAATAAAGTACATATATGGATTATAAGATACTCAATTATTAAAGACTTTAAAGCAAAACTCATTTATAGGCAAAAGAACGTTAAGTTAACTACATTAAGGGACAAGACAATTTTCGGTGCTCGCCAACTTTTAAAGGATAAATCTTTTGAAGTAGCTAATATATTATTTCAGATAGGATCAAATGACCTACAAGAAAAAAACAGCCGAGGACGTGATTGAAGATGCTAGGCTCTTAATTATTGACCCAAAAAAGCTGTACCTTGACCGCAACATTATTATCAGTGAATTATTACAATGCTTTTATCGAAATCGAGAAGACTCAATTTATTATGAAGAAACGCGACAAAAATACAACAGATTATTATCAGATTTAAGAGAGACAGAAAACCTAAAATTAGTCAAAAGTAAACAATTACAATATTAAGATTTTACTGATGGTATTCACTTAACAGATTCTGGAATGAGAAGTGTATAAAATGCTATAAAAGGGTTACAAATCCCCTTTTAGGGATTCAGTCTACTCAAATGAAAGATAATTATTAGTTCAATTATCAACAAAGAATCAATCGTGTTGGAGAAAGATCTTAACATAAACTGAACTTATATCAGGAAGCCAGTACAAACTCATCAACAGTTCGGACAAAATTGGAACGAACAGAGAAAATCTCAGGAACAATACCAACATTCTACAAGATAATTTATAAACAATAGAAGTGGTAACAACTATATAAACAACTAAAGTCGATACCCACCAAACTTTAAGTCCAACCATGAAAACAGCCTATATGCCTCTCCAGAAGGTAGTGTGGTTAACAATATTGAATTACTCGAAATGTTACTTAGAACACTGAAGTACTAAAATCAGTCAGTAAAATTCTTATGGTGTAAACAATGCACCTTCGTTTTAGTTATTTGTTTTGTCTGCAGGATAAAGAAGTCTGTATTTATTTTAATTGTGTTGGTGAAGTTGCCATTTTTCTTGTTTATTGAAATCTCACATACAATTGATATTTTTTAATGTATGTTAGCCAAATTGAAAACATGAAGCAAAAATTCCCCCCTCCCCCAGTGCTTTGCACCTGCACAACA